AGCCATCTCTGCACCTGCGGCGGCCGTTGCGGGGGTACTGCACTACGAGGGATCGGTGGATGATGCGTTTCTGGAAGACCTCCTGCGGGCGTTGAAGACACATGCTGGCGGAGCAGTGTTCTCCTTGGAGGATCAGGGGATGTTGGTTTGTGCATCAACGCAGAGGGCCGGGGTGTAGTGGGCTTATTGCATCCTTTGAGTTTTTGCCAGTAGTCAGTAGTCTTTAGAGAGGAAAGGACGGTCAAACCCAGCTAATTAAGCTTGTTTCAGGATGCTATATCCTTGGTGAAGGATGCGACGGAGATCTTTCAACAAGAGCAAACACTGCAAGAAGTTCATGTGGATCAGGTGGGCGCAAGCCAGACAGTGCAGGGTGAACAAGCCAGTTGCTTCAATTTTAGGAAGGAAGGCAAGCACATAAATGTATATACATAATTAGAATATGAGACACTGCGATTGTATGCAAACCATTGAGTCTAGAAGGCTAGAACAAAATGTGCCATCCTGCTGCTTGAACGACTTTTAAAGCACTTTTGCAATTGAGCAAATGCCGAACCCTCAATTTGAAGTGGACCCAGGACCTAGGTGCAACCTTAGAAGAATGAGCGAAGAATGAGCGAACTGAACGATTTTGTGCCAGACGACTGCTCCACCACAATGCACGGCTCCAGGTCGTGGTGGTTGGCGACCTACATGGTAACAAGAAGCTAGTAGAAACAAGTGCATCGCTAGTAGTAACAGGTGCCTTACTAGTAGTAACAAGAAGCTATTAGAAACAAGTGCCACGCTAGTAGATGCACGGCTCCAGGTCGTGGTGGTTGGCGACCTACATGGTCAGTTCTTCGACCTCTTGCGGATTTTCGAGGCCACTGGGAGGCCCAGCGAAGCCAATCCCTATCTCTTCAATGGGGACTTTGTGGATCGAGGCACCGGGAGGGGACCAAGGCAGGAGGCTTTTGATGGCTCTTGGATCTGGTTGGAAGAAGCAACAAGTTATAAGTCAGTCAACATAATACTTATGGGTGGGTGCAGTTGTTGTTCACCAAGAGGGTCTATACCACTCCGCACGCTACTTGTACACGGAGGTGATTCGAAGAAAGGTTTCCTTAGTTTCCTTGGCACCTCTTGTGCCAGGTGCCTACTCCTTGGAAGTCATTCTGCTGCTTTTTGCGCTGAAGTTGCGCTACCCCAGAGCAGTCCTGATGAATCGAGGGAACCACGAGGCCGCAGATTTGAACTTGAGGTTCCTCGGCAACGAAGGCTTCAGGATGAGGGTTTTAGGAATGTGTGGGTCTATTTTCTTTGGCTTGAGCCACTTGCTCACTCAACAAGCATACACGATCCAAACATCTCAACATCATCGAACTCTGTAGCCTATAGCCATTGACTTCCACTCGCTGCACTGTGGAGCAAATAGCAAAGCACGAATATGTTTTCTGCAGTTCTTCTTCACGCAAGGAAGTTTCAGGAAAGATCAGGTCGCTTATGATAGTCGTTTCAACAGCAACTCTCTTCCACTTCCTTTTTTCACCGTCTCCAAGCACTCCGCGCTCGCCCTCCCGTCATTCCACTCCGCTCGGGGCACGGCGCCGAGCTCGGGAACCGCCCCAGGTACGGCTTCGCGGCCGAGCTGCGCGACCGCTACGGCGCCGCCGGGGAGACGCTCTTCGCGGCCTTCGCCACGGCGTTCCGGTGGCTGCCGCTGGCGCATGTGGTCAACGAGGAGGTCTTTGTGGTGCACGCTGGGCTGCCTGGGCCAGACCCCAGGAGGGGATGATGGTGATTGGGTGGGAAGATGTGGGAAGCTGGAGAGTGTCAGAGGCTTCTTGAGTAAGGGGGAGGAGGTTGGTGCGTTTTGCTTTTTTGTTTGGTTTCTTCGAAGGCTTGCAGATTGTTTCTTTTGATCTTGTTATACTTAAGGACCTCCAAGTACCTCTCGACCGCTTTGCAGGCTGCAGTTCAACGATGCGGGAGGCATGGGTACAGGCTACGCAGCGATGGAGAATAGCGGTCGTCGTGGCGGTGGCCAGAACCTCTCGCTCTTGGGATACAATCCAGAAGCTCAGCTGGGAAGTGGAATTCTTGTAATCAGGGAGAATGGAGTCGAGGGAGGTTTCCATTGCTTCCTTTATGGCCAGGAACTCCAAACAGCCCAAACATCTCAGAACCACGCCAGCTTACAAGAAGATGTGAGGTTTGCTTCTTTCATACCAAACGCACTCTTCCGGTCCAAAACAAGTTCCTTCAAGCCCCTAGGACAACGTCTCCCTGCCGCCCCGTGATGCCGAGCTGACCTTGGAGGAGATCGCCCGGCTGCCGCGGGGCAGCGACCCCGCCACGGATCTCCAGGCACTCGAGGAGCTACCTGAGGAGGAAGCAGAGGCGTAGGGGTGGCAGTGTGCGGATGGGTGCGGTGGCTGCGCCAGCATCACAAAGGAAATTATTGGGTCAAAGGAGATAAGGGGTGTTGTAAGGGAAGTTTGGAAAAATATGTTTATCTCAGCCCACTTAAGTTTTACATGTTACCTAGAATTGCAGTCATTCCAATTGGATCCAATTGGTGGAGTGGGAGCTCCAAGAACCTGCAGATGTGGAGATGAACAAAGGAGGCAAAGGACTCTTGTTGAGTCATGATGACATGAGTCACCCTATATCATATAGAATGACAGTTTCAATGTCAATGTCAAGTCTTCTGGACTTGGTTTAGCAAATAGCAGCAGTTTCCGAAGCAGTTTCCGTTCATCCATAGATTTACAGCACTCGTAGCTCACACGGGATGACATCATGAGACCTTGACGGACCGAGTGCCGCGCGGGCGCGCGCGTGGTGCGGTTTGCCCACTCAGGTGCAACGTTTGATTGTCGACCTTCTTTGGGCTGATCCTCGCGGGAAGACTGGCTATGGCCCTTCCTACAGAGTCAGGAAGAGTTTGAACTCTTTGGTTTTCGGTCAACGAACCAATGTAAATCAGCCATGTTGTTCCGGTAATGATACAATTTTATACACGACTTCATGTTGTGCTGCATACTTCTTGTGATGGGCATGTTCAACATGATTAGGCACGGGAGTGTGGCACGGGACGACCACAGTTCCCATGCAGGAAGGGTTGTTCCTAGTAGCTTATTGTTTCTAATAGCTTCTTGTTACTACTAGTAAGGCACTTGTTACTAGAAGCGATGC